ACTTCAGCAAAATAAAAATAAAGCATTGAAAGAAAAACATAAAAACTTACAGGAAAAAATTAGTGCTTGTTCATGAAGCAAAGTATCAAAGTAATTATTTTTGTGTATAAAAAATAAAGCTATAAAGGCAGTTCATGAAATAAAAAAAGAATATAATGATATGCTTTGTGTTTTTAAACAGTAATAATGAATAATATATACTTAATTTCATAACCCACTTCCTTGCCTAAATTTCACTTGGATGTTGTGGATTATTTTCTTTTGTTGAGGATAATGTCAAATAAAATAATTTCCCCCTGGTCTAATTTCATCAGTAAGAGTTGATGATTCATACCCATCAGATCTCAATCCCAGAAAAAAAAAAAGTAACTTGAATTCAGAGATAGGAAAACTTACATAAACCTTATGTAGTGGAATTGGTAGAGGTATATATTCCTTTCAATTTCCATATACAGGCTATATTTGTATAACCCTAGCATTGATACGATTTCTTACTAAAAGATAAACCATTAGGGAGAAATTACTTCCCATAATATTCTGCAATAAAACAGTAATACTGAGTAAAGACAAAGGGAAAAAGTAACTCTATGGATAATAACCTAGAAATGAATAAACTCTTGCCTTCTGTCAGGTCAACTCTTTTGGGCTACCGTTTCTGTCACCAAATACTACGGGCTACCGTTTTTGTCACCAAATACTACCAAAAAGAAACCTAGAAGACTATTAACACTGGTGCCCCTATAAAAAATAATTAGTAAAAACAGATGGAAAACTTACCAGGTTCCTGAAGTTTAAGAGCTTCTAAATCAAGACTTTCATTCTCTTTGAAGAATATCTGGAACTTTTCAAATGTAGCTGCATACAAGCGGGCAGATTCAAATGCTGCCTGAATGGTTTCCTACGTGTTGTAAACAGACAAATAGAACTATATTTTTCTCAAGCAGAATTCAATTCAATGTAACCAGCCAACCAACCAAACAAGTACAAGTGCTTTCTCTGTGCCCCCCAATATGCTTTGACCTGTGAATGCATGAGTGAGGAAAGATACCGTCCTCGATGCAGGAAGAAGTTAATTGATTCAAGAAGAAACTTAAATAGTTAAAAAAAATCCATCTTCANTGGTGCCCCTATAAAAAATAATTAGTAAAAACAGATGGAAAACTTACCAGGTTCCTGAAGTTTAAGAGCTTCTAAATCAAGACTTTCATTCTCTTTGAAGAATATCTGGAACTTTTCAAATGTAGCTGCATACAAGCGGGCAGATTCAAATGCTGCCTGAATGGTTTCCTACGTGTTGTAAACAGACAAATAGAACTATATTTTTCTCAAGCAGAATTCAATTCAATATAACCAGCCAACCAACCAAACAGGTACAAGTGCTTTCTCTGTGCCCCCCAAAATGCTTTGACCTGTGGATGCATGAGTGAGGAAAGATACCGTCCTCGATGCAGGAAGAAGTTAATTGATTCAAGAAGAAGTAACCAGCCAACCAACCAAACAAGTACAAGTGCTTTCTCTGTGCCCCCCAATATGCTTTGACCTGTGAATGCATGAGTGAGGAAAGATACCGTCCTCGATGCAGGAAGAAGTTAATTGATTCAAGAAGAAACTTAAATAGTTAAAAAAAATCCATCTTCAAATCTGGCTTTTGAAGTGTTGTTCTTTATGACTGAAAGGAAGCATGTTTGTAATTTTTTTGGTTTCATGGTGAACTTAAATATCACTATTAAAAATATGACAAAGGGGTACTTCCTGTTTATTTTCCAAACGGCAAAATTTGTGACTTAATTAAAGTGTTTTTGAGCAAAGCTCAGACTGTTTATCACGTCTACAAAATCACTTGTTTAATCTTTCTATCAAATCCTCTGCACTGGCCAGCCTCTTTTCCCAAAATATTCTTCATACTTTGCCTTCATTAAGTCCTTTCCCTCACTTCTCTTAAACTAGGCTTCAACCTCTCTTTTCCCACAAAGATTTTTCAAATCAAGACAATCATTTCTAATCATTTCAGTCCCTATCACACTTGCATCAATATATATTACCATGTGTTCAATGCCTATCAAAGGCGGTTAGGATTTGTTATTGGTCTTGGTCCCTGACTCCCTGGCTGCACTGCACAACCTTCCCTTATACGAGAGGTCTCCAAAAAGTTCGTTGGAAGATTCGTACTATCTTTTAATTCTATTTTTCTACAAACTTATGAGGTACGCTTGTACTTCTTACCAACAGTTCTTGCAAATACTTGCAATTTGTCTGAGGGAAAACTAGAAATGAGCAATGGAATTCCACAAACCCAATACACCAATACTGGAGAAAGTAGCTCAGAGTCATGCTTTATGGCTGGTAAGCTATTATTAAAAAGTTTAATTACAAAGAATAGCATACATTCTGCATGTTTGTATTTAGTTATTTGTTCATTATTTCTTTTTAATTGGCTCTTATGTGATCCTCCAGAATGTTTCAGCTGTTTCTTTCTTTACACTAAAAATTGGGAGAAAACTATGTCAAACTATATTTCCTCTGGGCTGAATTAATAGTGTCTCTGATATGTAATCATGTAGGTGATAGAAACATAATATGGGGACTATAAAAGGAAAGCTCCACCAATGTTCAAAATATGATTTTAAAACCTTTTTATTTTGAAATAATTTCAGATTCATAGGAAAGTTGCTGGAATAGTACAAAGAATTCCATATACCTGTCACCAAAAATCCCTAAATTTCAACAATATATTACATTTATTTTATCGTTCTCTCTGTACACATATTATTTTATTCTGAACTACTTGGGAGAAAGTTGTAGACATGTGCACCTTACTCCCAAATATTTCAGAGTTTATTTACTAAACACAAGGACATTTTAAAATATAACCACAGAATAATGGTCTAAATCAGGAAATTAACATGGATATTAATACTATCATCTAATTAACCATATACAAATCCCACCTTTTGTTACAATAATGTGTTTTATAGCAAAAGAAAAAAACATTTTTTTTCTGGTCCGCTGTCCTGTCCAGGATCATGTATTGCATCTCATCATATCTCTTTGGTTTCCTTTAATCTGGGACACTTTCTCAATCTTTTTTTGTCTTTCATGACTTTTACATTTTTGAAGAGTATTTCAATTGTGTGTGTGTTTTATATTTCCTCATGCTTAGATTCAGTTAAACATTTTCCACAGCAGGGATGTGGATTCTCAGTGCATCATATAGCAACATACATAATATCAACTGTCTAATTATTGGTAACGTTAACACGTGGGTTAAAGGAGTGTCTGTTAGGCTTATTAATGTCAAATTATTATTTTCCTCTTTGAAATCAATAAATATCTTATGGAGAGATGATATGAGAATATGTAAATAATCTGTTTCTCATCAAACTTTTGTATACTCATTTTAGTATATACTGGAGATTCTTGCCTATTTCTATGGTGATTACTGTTTCAATTTTTCTAATTACGTTTTCCTTCTACATTTATTGGTTGGCATTCTACTGAAGAAAAAACTTTCCCTTCTCAATCAATTAATTAATCAACCAATTAATTAATTCACAATACGGACTCATATATTCACATTTTATTCAAGGAATTATGGTACTGTTATAATCTTTATTTTAATGGCCAAATTGACCCAGGGAGACCCTTTAAGCTGGCTTTCTTTGTCTTTTCTACATGTCTTCATTATTTCTTTGGGCACATTCTTATTTTTTGGCTCAACAATATGCTCTCGGCTTCTCTTATACTTTCCTGCCTAGCCCTTGAGTAAGACATTTCTTCAAAGACACCAAAGAGAGTTCCGTTTATTTGGAAATGGTATACAGAAACCAACGTGTGGACACCAGATGTGGTCATTGGTACCAGGATGTCATTGCTTCTAGGCCACCTCGGCAGATAGATCTAGGAAACACACACACATAACACATGCGCGCGCGCGCGCACACACACACACACACACACACACACACACACACAACATACATACACAAAACCCTACATATTTCTCTTTCTATAGATGAATTAAAAACCATGAGTTCATATCTCCAATTCCATACAACACCATGGGGATCATTCCAGCTTTCCCTCTTCCTTATTTGTAACCCTCTCTGAGGATGAGTAACCTCATTTCATCATCCGCAATATACTTGCTTATTTTCTCAAGTCTATGACACACAGTTTCAGAATTGCTAACACATTAATACCACTGTGAAAAACAAACCTACTAATCGGAGTTCAATATTTGTTATAGTAGTCTTTAGCCTAAAGGTACAAGTCAAGTATCCCTTTTCCAAAATGCTTGGGATCATAAGTGTTTTAGATTTTGGATTTTTTTTCAGATGTTGGAGTATTTGTGGAATACATACTGGTTGAGCATTCCTAATCCAAAA